AATCATTGCTTTTAAGCCTCATCGCGGATAATTTGCTGCTTAAAGTCTGGTTTCACAGCCTCCGTCAGCGAATTAGCGTACATATCCAAACGGGACGTCATCTGACAAGAAAATTAAAGAAATGACAATAAACTTAGGCCCTGTTTAAATAAAAAAAGGTTTCCCCGGGCGGGAGGGTCACCCGCCTGCCCGAGCTACCCTAGGCGAGCCACCTTTTGATACATTACCTTAAAAAACTTGGCCAACCCTTATCGGCTAGAAGGGTGACCAACGTTTCTTCCATGTGAACACTTTGACTCGCCCAGCCGGGTGAACTCGGTCATGGCGAGACAGTCAGAGCATGCGCGAGAGCTGTTGGCTCGGACGAAGGGGTCAACCTCGTCTCCTTCCCATTAATTTTTTTACTGAGTGGTATCGTCGATCGCTGACAGATCAAGTTCAGACCATCCTTCCGCTCACAAGTTGACCACACCTTAAATATTAGCTATCTACCTCTTGCAACAGCGCTCTACAGATGTCGCTCCTAATTAACTAAGAAAATGTGACTGCAGAATTTGAGAAATTGGATAAAAATAGGTTTAGCATCACGTTTACGTCAAACAGCAAACGGGAAATTGTACCACGTCATCAAGTTTCCACTTTACTTGTCGTTTACGGTTCATTATTTCTACACATAATTTAGTAGTTTCACGCAATTTTTTATCCATAAGAATTGTTTTGAGCTGTTTTTATCAGCTTATTTACTATTTTAAGAAATTCTTACCTTGAATCAGACGTTTGCCGTTTGCCGTATACGTGAAGCATATACGAGAAGTCACGCGACAGGGGCATGTGGAAGGACGCGCGAGAGCGAAGGGCGGGGAAAGAAAGGAGAAAAGAGAGAGCTCTGACTATAGCACTGTACAGACCTGAAAACACCACTTGTCTTTGACCTGTCTACACATGTTCAAGTCTACTTCGGTCACAAGTAAGCCATCATTAACTCTGGACAAACCCTGCACAAGAAAAAAGAAAATATATTTAACTATAAGGAGGGAAAGGTCCGTGCAGTATAGCTAATCTATTTGTTGCACATCACTAATGTAAAATCGACGGCGAGAAAAGGTTTCTGAAAAGAAGGCTTACTCCAAGACAAGCGAGGGCGAGCTTTACGAATTCTTCACCATCTTTTTAACTCATGAACAACTTACTCTCTTCCTCCACCCCGTCCGACCATAATCAGCTCCAGCGCGGAGCCAGTTGCATTAAAACTGACGAAGTAAAACTGACGCTTACGTCCTGAATCGAAATAGAAAGTTTGACTGAGCTGAAGGTCTGATGATGGCTATTACGATCGACGTTAAGATTGATGCAATTTTCATGCTGCTAAGTCTTTCACGAGCAGAATTTGTAGGGACGGCTTTCTAATTCAAGGAGAGAAATCAAAACTCACATTTGCTATTAATGTTTACGGGGAAAGGTACCGAACTGTATATACATGTACTAAGGCATTATATCAAGTACTACTACTTCGCACCATTCTTTAAATTGCCTTTCTTGGTCATCATGGTCGCCAGCGTATGAATGAGGGGGATGGGGACAATTGAGCGCGCGCAAACGCGACGGGTGTGCGAAGGAACGGGAAGCAGTGATCCTCATCTACCTCCTCTCTTCACGCTACGCGTTCTCTCCTCGTATCTCGCGCTTCAAGCGAGTAAAAATCCGTTCCTTATTTCCAGTGCCTGCGAGGCAGGTTATTATCCTAATCGCTTGATTTCCTTATAGCGCGTAATTTACTGAGAAGTAAACTTACAGGAGTACGACTGCCGTCTGGAGCAGCAACATAAGAAGAACCTGAAAAAAGCATTGAGCCAAAAACGTTGTACATTACCAATGGCAAACCAAAATAATAGCGCTATGCTTTGATGTATTACTAGGGAGTAAATGAAAGGAATCACTGGCATCGAAAGTTCAGAGGGGCCAAACTTAGTTTAAAACTCGCAATAATGATTCTTCCGGTGTGTAAGGAGTTTAAGTAAAACATACCGTAGAAATGTCCAAAGTCCCTGTGCGCTATAGAAAGAAAACAATAGAGTTTTGTCAGCACTTTACAGTAGATGTGACCATGTGCTTAACGGAACTACAAGACTGTAACTGCGTCCGTTATTTCTGGAGTTAGAGACTGCAGGTGGTGGAGGCGTGGCGGCCGAGCGGTTAACACCAGACCTTGAACTTCGATCTGTATATCGGAATTTTTACGGTCACTTTCTTTCCTCAACAAAGACTTTGCTTCACTATCTTTCTTCACCTAGGTGTATAAATCGGTGCAGGCGATACACACTGCTAGAGGCAACCCTGCAGTGAACTAGCATCCCAACTTGGGGGAGGGGGAAGAGGAGGGGGAGGGGTAGCAATACACCTTGGTTTTACATACTTCAACAACGGGGTGAAAAAACGGGGTCTCCTTGGCTCCTTAGCCTGAAAAAAACAGCCTTCATTTCGCAACGCCACCACTGGTTCCCCCCCGAAATGACGGCTGAAAAACGAGCGCAGAAATTCCATACTGAAGAAGCGGCACTACCCAGATCTTGGTATTGATTCTGATTGGTCGTGCCATGGGAAATTTGCTTCAGCCAATCAGAAGCACTACCCAGATCTGGGTAGTGACGCGTCATCGTATGGAATTTCTGCGCTCGTTTCTTAGACGACATTTCGCGTGGAAACCAGCAGTGGCGTCGCGAAACGTCGGCTGCTTTCTCAGGCTGTGGCTCATGCGCACTAAAATATTTCAACCTGCAAAAGTTTGAACATCTCATGGCATCATTACAGTCTCTTATATGTAAGAGGGAGGGGAATAGAAAATTTCTTGTTGATTCGTTCGTAAAAATGACAGTTCAAATTATTGTTTATGTCGCTCTGAAAATCACGTGTTTCACAGAGGAAGGCACTTACACTGCACAATAAATGCCCTGTTTGCATTGTCAGTCTATACTCTCGCAGAAAATAGCTCCTGATCAATAAGCGCACAAGAATTCTTCAGTTGTTGAACCAAATAGAAACAACGGGTTAAGTCAGTAAGAGTAGCTACCTGGCTTTCCATCAGCAGATGTAAATTCATGTTCAAAAACCTCCTGCAAATGACAATATGGTAATCAGTAACTTTATCATTTACAAGAANATAGCTCCTGATCAATAAGCGCACAAGAATTCTTCAGTTGTTGAACCAAATAGAAACAACGGGTTAAGTCAGTAAGAGTAGCTACCTGGCTTTCCATCAGCAGATGTAAATTCATGTTCAAAAACCTCCTGCAAATGACAATATGGTAATCAGTAACTTTATCATTTACAAGAAAAGCATTCAACATGGTGCTCTTGTTATTGAGTCATCATAGCTTGTTACGAAACGTTCTCAGCTTTTAAAAAACCGCCATTCAATAGATATCTTGCAAAATGTCTTCAAACATTCACTGCATACCATCTGTGGTATACAGTGAAAGAAACTATACAACGTGTTTAAAAAACAACAATACTCACAGTGCCAATTCTGTTAATTGCTACTGTAAAGTAGTTGTTAGCAATGGCAGCACAGCGAGCTTCAATGGGCCACATTGGTTCACTAGAGAATTAAAAAGAATATTTGTCAATATAAAAGAAAATATCAAAAATAGATTGTTGATGGGGATGGTGGGAGGATGCCTGTAAGGTTGGGGGAGCCAACTACTCCAGCCGAGTGTACCGCATAACTATGACAGCCCTGTGAGTAGTATCTAATGAAGAACTGTCACACTAAGATTTCAGACGCTGAAATTAAAGTGAAACTAAAACTGCTGGTAGGAGGAAAAAGTTGAAGGACTGGCAGTATGTGGCAACACAAGCAACCTAACTTTAAATTTTAAGGAGAACAATAATTGCTCTCCTTAAAATTTACAGGGGCCTAGAGTGGCAGCAAACCCATTTGACCACGTTAGATTGGAAGTGAGATAGCACAGACTAGAATGTCTTGAACTTCGCCTTGTTACTGAAAGATATGATTACGAAAACGAAAACTGCAAGAATACGAAAACTGCAAGAGATGTTCAAAGAGATAAAAAGATGGCCCTTTAAATAACCATGTCGTCAACTGCAAAGTTAATGATAGAGTCTCACAAGGTGGACGGTTGTAACTTATGGGTGGGTGGAAAAAATTCTGGGGTGTGACCATACATTCAAATAAAACCTCTTTAGCAGTACCTTCATAAGGCCTATTTTATGGAGTGAAAGAGATGGGAACCCACGTTGGTCAGTATTGTGAAAACAACCCAAACTTTCCATTCAGGGGTGTGGTTTACAGTAATGAAGGTGTCAGAGGTCCTACCTGAGAGCTCCTACAGTGGCCGATGGATTGAAGCAGATCTCAGCACCATTCACAGCATACATCAACCAATTCAATGGATGATGCCTTCCATAACAAATATTCACTGCAATTCGGCCTACAAAAAACGTTTTCCAGTGATGTCAGTGAACCACTCTCTGCTATGGATTATGAAAGGCTAAATGAACAAGGAGGCCTGAATGACTGAATGAAGACAAAAAGGAGGAAGGAATGGACCTAATGCAAAAATTTGATTAATATTCTTTTGTTTAAATTAAAATTAGCATGACTTAAGCCTCGCTTGAAATAATAAATTCAAATCAATTTAGGTTCTGGGAAACTGCCCACCTACCCCTCCCATAAGTCATCATTTTGCCCTAAGTGAGAAGCAAGTGTTAATGTTAGCTTAGGGGAGGGGTTGGTGGGCAGTTTCCCAGAAAGCTAAATTGATCCATAAATTCTTTTGAATTTTGTACTGAAGAAAGAGGCTAGTAAGGCTAATTTTAATTTAAACAAAAGAATGTTAATCCAGCAACCATTTTTGCATTGGGTTTATAAAGGAAGAAGGAAGGGAAGTAAGGAGGGCGGAGGGAGCTAAGGTGAGTGCAATATGGCCAAAGGGGATATAAAAGGGGCCAGAGATGGGAAAAATGAAGTAAGGAAAGGAAGTAGGGACAAGAAAAAGGAAAGAGAAACAAAGAAGATAGGAATATGGAAAAAGGGAAAGAGGAGAAAGGAAGGGAAGAGGGATGAAGGTAAGAAGAGAAAGATAGCAGGGAGGAGAGGAGTGGATATTAATTGATTAATAACTGAATGAACTAACAAATCAATGTTTGAGGGAGTAAATGAATGAATGATAAGGGTGTGAAGGCATGAGGGTGATAAAAGAGGAAAGGGGAGGAAGGAAGGGAACAATAAGAATGAAAGAAAGACAGGGTAGAATAAATAAATAAATAGATGGATGGATGGCTGGGTTGATGAATGGATGAAAAAACAAATAACCATTTTACTGAGAAAAATTCATACCAAATTGTGTCTGGAAAACAGGGTGTCCCAAATCGCCCTCCATATAATATGTTGACTGTAAAAAAGAAGCAAATGCACTAAAATCACAAACATTACAGAATTAATCAAAACAACTTTTTCTAAAAATGTATTTTACTGGCCATTTGAGAGACATCACAGGTAAACGTAGAATCAAGATGAATGGAAAGCACACCTAAAAATGTTTTACTATTTGGCTGGTAAATGGACAAAAGAATAATTTTGTCCCCAATTCAAATTTCATGTTCCTTTGTTTAAAAGTCCTCAACTGGTATGACCATGCTCAAGGGCAAATAAAAATTTAAAAATAAACCAAAAATGTAATTGAATACTATAGATTTTCATCACAGCTATTCGCTATGTTCAAGCACAATTAAATGCTCTAAAACCTCGCCATTTTTGTAGTGTAAATAATTCAAGATTATTAGAGTATTTATGGCCACATCCAGTGGCTCCTTTTGACACAATACCACCCTTCTTCGGAGGCAGAGTGGCCGAGCAGTTAGGGCACTGGATTTGCAATTCGAAGGGTCTGAGTTTAAGTCCCACCCTGACCACTAGCTGGGTTTGTTCTTGGTACTCCCAAGTTCAAATCCTCGACCATTCCTGTAAATAGCCCACTGGTTTGCCTCTGGCCAGTTGGGATTCTTAACCCTGTTATGTTTGATTTAAATTATGTGTTTCAAGAATTTGCTTGGCCCCACTTGCATTAGTTCTATAAACGCCACCAAGGGTAAATAACAGAATTTTTTTTTCCGCACGGGGAAAACTCATCAGTGCCTGCAGACAAGGGTTGTTGGCAAGAAGAGATATTAATATCAGTACCCTTACCTCATTGAAATCTCCAACTCTTGGAATGTGATTTTTTCTTGTTTTTCCCAAAACTGATCCATTGTTGGAAATAATAACTGAATATGGACACACACATAATAAGTCATCCAGCAACTCAAGACATGCAACAATGTCAACATGTTTCTAACTATCAGAAATGAAAATACCGTGAAAATAGATCAAAATACAGCTCCATTCATTTACTAACTGAATCATTAGACAATTTTAAGACCTCTCAAGTCAAGCTACCACCTACCCAAAATAATGATTCAGTTTCCCAGTGAAAGCACACTAGTTGGATAGTTGGGACCTTTTGTAAACAATCCCCTCCTACTACCAAACTGTAACAATTTGGGTGTGGTTGGTGTCTGTCTCACATGGGGGCAGGGAGGGGGGTCAACTGTTTTTTGATTAAAGATTAAAGATGTTCATAAATACCTGTAGTATTGAAGATTCTGTCTTGATGAACAGTGTCCCGTTCCAGAATTGGTGACACAATGACCATATTATGTTGCTTGGCAAGCTTGAACAAAACAAAAAGAAATTTAAAAAAAGCTTACTTATTAACGCAGTGAAGTACAAGTTTATAAGTAAGTAAAGTCACCCACATTGTAATTAACTGACTGATTGACTGATTGATTGATTGATTGATTGCATACGTTACAGTGTCAGCTCAAGTTCTTGAAAAAACAATCCAGAACATGTGTGGGAAAAACATTTTACTTTAATTGTCATGTAAACAAATGCAGCTCTAGTCAGAAGCAGGAACCTGTCAAACTTGTAAGAGACATGAGTGTATTACCACTAGGTACCACTTTTAAAAAAAATAGTTGTGTCTTTATCATTCATGTTTAAAACAAAATCAGTTATGATAGAAATGGGACAAGTATTGAACAGCTGTATATGTAACAGGCCAAAAAAAACTTCAAGTTGAAATTTTTTAACCTAGGTTGATTCTCAATTTCCTTTGTTGCCTGGCCCTAATTCGTGAATAATCAAGGCCAGGAGAAAAACGAGATTGAGAATCAACCTAGGCTAAAAAATTTTACCCTGATTTGACCTGATTTATTTATACATACCTCCTGACAAAGTTTAATTGTGGGACCACCTACAGCTGACTCAGCAAACTCTGTCCAAGGATGCTTCTCACGAGTGCAAAAGGCAAATGGCATTGCTGTTATCAGAAAACAGATTATTATTTTTACTAAGTACCGGTACATGTAATTTCGCATTATCAAAAGACCTGTAATAGTTCCTTAATAGCAAAATGGATCTTTAAGATTAACAGTACATTCTCAACTCTCATGACTCAGATACAAAATAGTTAGCACAATGCTTTGACATGCAACTAAAATAATTTATTGATCCACTTACTCCAACATTCTTGAAAGCAAATCACATTTACTCCACACAAAGCGGCCACGTCAGTAATTTCTTTTATCCTTGCATGAAGTGCTGCTAGCTATAAAACAGAGGAAAAATATCATGGAACCTTGTGTCCAATAACAACTGCAATGTGCTAAATTTCAAAACCACTCTCCTTATTGATTCTTTCATAAATGGACTCAGAAACCTGAACTGTTGTAGTTGTTTACGTCAAACTTTTTGAAATTTACATGGTTTTGCATGTCCTACAGAAAATTTACCTTCAAAAGACAGGTTAAACAAATATGCCATTTTGTTTTTCACAACTACATAGAGGTGTTTTTTTTACAGCCTACACACAGTAGGCGCTATCGGTAACTTTATGTCTGTTTGGAAATAGTCAGGGTAGAGCACATCTAAATACGTACGTACGTACATCTTAAACTGGAGTCACCTGGTTTGCAAGTGGTGCAGATGTAGGCAAAACTATTTTATTCTGTACGGCTCCTATCCTAACTATACGAGGCTTGCGAAGTTGCTCTTCCAGAACACCAAACTTGTATCCTGCCAGTTCAAAGTTTTTTTCCTCTGCTAATTTCAGTGCTTCTGTAGGCAACTCCAGTGTACTAGATAAAAAGAGAAATAGAGTGTTCAATACCGCAGCTTTCCAGAGCATTTGAAATGAGCCTTGATCAATATCCACAAACTCTTTTTCAGTGTGTTCAATCATGAAATTCTAAAGTTAATTCTTCTTTCAGATCAATTTGCTATATTTATTATACCCTGACCATTCTAAACCCAAATACTCTGAATTCTGTAATTTATCCTAGACTAATACAGTGTATGAATTTTGACAATCCAGCCTAAGCAACCACTTGACACATGATCTGTGTCAGGTATACAAAGAACTTTCAGGGACCATATGTAACTTATCCAGACCTTGTCTCAGGGGAGAGTCCCTATGTTTGATATCAGACATCAGATGTCTGACATCAGATGTCTGAGATCAGACATCAGACGTCTGACAGACGTCTGATATCAAACATCCATCATCAGACGTCTGACATCAGACATCAGACGTCTGACATCTGACATCAGACATCTGATATCAGACATCAGACATCTGATATCAAACATCCGTTATCAGACGTCTGACATCACAATCAGACGTCTGATATCAGACATCAGACGTCTGACATCTGACATCAGACATCTGACATCTGACATCAGACATCTGACATCTGATGTCTGACAAATCATGAATATCGAGTAAAAGATTTTAAAGTTCACATATCACGACAAGCAAACCAGTCACAGTTCACAGGTTTTAATTTCGTATTTTCACCTTTCACGAAAATTAAAAACACTTAATCACGTATCACGCAATAACCCCTTTACCCCCCCTCTTTTAATACTGGATTGATTTACTCAGCAAGAGAGCAATCATATTAAGCCAGTTAAGTTTGATTTTTTGGGCCAAAGATCAGCTTCATTACAGTGTAATAAACAACTTTGTTGTTGTCTAGCAAGATCTTGAATACCCTGCGAGCAGAGGTCCTTCGATCTTCCTAGATAAGTCGGGAAGTGGAGGGGACTTACCTTCCCGACTTATATTAGAAGATCGAAGAGCCTCTGCTCGCAGGGTAGGTCTTTTAAAAGACATTCACAGACGCATGTTACCTGACAGGTTTTCCGTACAAAATCCTTTTCACTTCCTCTAGTTCTTTGGGCGGTAGATGTTTCTCCAAACAACCTTCCAAACTGGTAAATTCAGCCGCCATTTTGCAAACAGGACCCAATGAGTGACCTTGAGTGACCCTACATGAAGACTGGTTCCAAAAAAGCATTTATGTATCAAGGAGGGTAGGGTAGAGAGAGGTTCAAATGTTAAGAGATTTTTCATCTTATAAGTGCCAAATACAAACCAATTTTCATTCTTTAGAAAATCTTAGAGCCGTAATGGTTGATATTAGAGGCAGCTGCTTTTATTGCCTGTTAAAAGAGGGCAGGAGTAAACGAGTAAACAGGCAAAACTACCCTCCCTCCCTTCGATGAACTTTCTGCAGCACAAGCGTGAAATTCAGCTGACTCAGTCTACTCGGTGCGATTTTATAGCCGCAGTGCTCAGCAATAAATTTCTCTATAAAGTTTGGTCACCAACACCTTTTGAAAGAACTTTCGTCTACGGTAGGACGGATTCACTTCAATTTTTAATGAAGAAGATTGCAAAAGTTCGTGAATTGACTGAAATGTTCGTGTGACTATGAATCCCTTGGGATGGCTAACGTGACGTGGCGCGTTAAATTGCGAAACAAATGACTGAATTCTGCGGAAAATCTCTTGACATTGCCCTGGTTGTCAAAAGACGAAGGGCTTTTCTTTAAAGGACGCTCCGTTGTTCTTGGAAGCCGTTGTTTCTGTTTATGTGGAGTAGCGACATTTCAAAAATTGAAATGGCATCGGTGAGGGAAGATCGACCAAATTTGATGTGGAAACCATCTCCCGGTCGACTGACAAACATTCACCATTTCCAGTCCGTGGTAAATCACTCATTTGGCCTTAATTTGGGTAAGTTTTGTTTTTTGAACAACGATTTTATGCTACAGATTTCATTTGTTTTTATTTCCCGCTCAAAGAACGTATTTGTTTTATTTTTAGAATGTAAGCCTAAATTAGTTACAGTTTGAGCCGGGAGTGGGTGGAGGTGGTGGTTATAAAGTTAGTACTCGTAAGTGCCTTGACTCGATCGCTCAACTCTTAACGCGTTCTTGGGAAGATATTTTTTAATATTAACCTGTGATGGTCATACAATGAAGGCCTTTAAAATAATTGGAGAAACTTATTATTTTAGAAATGTTGCAACCACACACCCCTGACACACCCCAATCACTCCTATCTACATCAACAAGGAATGTGGATGACATGAGTCTACAATGCTGTACAGAAAATTAATATAACAAAGCAAAAATAAATTGTCAATGATGATATTATTTTCTGTAACCTAGAAACTCATTTATAGATATTATTATACTGTGTCGACTGTGATTTATTACATTTCATCTGTCACTCAAGATAGTGAACTGTATCTGCCAACCTTGTTTCCCCTAACACTGACACTTCCTCAATTTTTGCACGACTTGCATCTCAAGGAAACACCCCATTTAATAATATTATGATAACATTATATAGATTTTTATTTTTGTTTATCTATTTTTATTGAAAATTAGGCAAAATGTTGTTAAACGTTTTTTCTGATTTATCTTTCCTTCCAACATGTTTAGAAACATATGAGGAGTTACGCAAGTGGAGTGTAACAAACTGTGCTGATTTCTGGGAAATTTTTTGGAAATATGCTGACATTCGTCATTCCCAAATGTACGAGGAAGTATTAGATCAGTCCCAACCCATGGAAACAATTCCAGAGTGGTTTCATGGAGCTCGTCTTAATTTTGCAGAGAATCTTTTGCAGTATGATGATGACAAAGTTGCACTGTATACAGCAGGTGAAATTTATTTCCCTAATTAAATGAACAGCAAAAGAATATTGAGGGAACAAGAAAGGGAAAGGTGCCAAAAGGGCTATTTATTCCTTTAAGTCCCAAGAGTGATCACAGTCAATTTTCTCGTAACAATATCAAGACATAATCTAGAGGAAATGTTGTGAGAATTAATGAAATGATCACCTGATGGGAAAAGCTTTGATCAGCAAACAAATTCTCTCAACTAATTCTTTAAGGAAATGTATTGAGATCAGTTTGGAGAATTTGTATTTGGATAATGGGGCTTAAAGGGTTATAACCATGCATAGCACCCACCTATTTTAGAGGCCCATATAGGGGGGTGCATGTGCCCTTACAGTGAATTTCAAAACCTGTCGTTCTCAAACTTGTCATACCTTTTCCTGAAAAAGAAAGCTGTTTGGTCTCTCATAAACTACCACCACTCAAAGGCCATCATTGAATCTTGGGGTGATCACTTATGAAAGGAAAAGGGAGGGTGAGGGGTTGNTGGAGCTCGTCTTAATTTTGCAGAGAATCTTTTGCAGTATGATGATGACAAAGTTGCACTGTATACAGCAGGTGAAATTTATTTCCCTAATTAAATGAACAGCAAAAGAATATTGAGGGAACAAGAAAGGGAAAGGTGCCAAAAGGGCTATTTATTCCTTTAAGTCCCAAGAGTGATCACAGTCAATTTTCTCGTAACAATATCAAGACATAATCTAGAGGAAATGTTGTGAGAATTAATGAAATGATCACCTGATGGGAAAAGCTTTGATCAGCAAACAAATTCTCTCAACTAATTCTTTAAGGAAATGTATTGAGATCAGTTTGGAGAATTTGTATTTGGATAATGGGGCTTAAAGGGTTATAACCATGCATAGCACCCACCTATTTTAGAGGCCCATATAGGGGGGTGCATGTGCCCTTACAGTGAATTTCAAAACCTGTCGTTCTCAAACTTGTCATACCTTTTCCTGAAAAAGAAAGCTGTTTGGTCTCTCATAAACTACCACCACTCAAAGGCCATCATTGAATCTTGGGGTGATCACTTATGAAAGGAAAAGGGAGGGTGAGGGGTTGACTCTAGGTCAAAGTCGCTTACTTATTATTAAGAGACCATGCATTTGCAGTATAGTAGTGTAGCATTTGAAAAGCATTTATTGTGTACTTTTAATAATTATTTTAACACATTATGTTTAGGAGAAGGACAAGAAGTTCAGTCAGTAACATTCCATCAACTAAGAAAAAATGTGACAGTCCTAGCCTCGGCATTAAAAAATCTTGGCATCAAGAAAGGAGACAGAGTTGTTGGTATGAATATTGTATTTAACAGGATTAACCACACTTAAAACTCATTTGGAGTTGAAAATTAAACCTTTTTGATTTTATACTGGCCTCTCTCGTGGAATACCCAGTCATAGATTCCACCCATCCTCTCTTCCAAATTTCATTCATTCTAAGGAACATTCAGTGTTCCTGTGGAAGTCAAATGCACACTGTGTTTGATGCCAATATAAGTTTCTTGTTTCTTTCTGGACATTCCCACCAGTCCTCTTGTCCTTGTCAAGTAGGCAAGGACCCTGGCAACAAAGTTGTGCTAACAGATGCCCAGAGATGAAAAGAGCTTTAAGAAGCCTTTCTCTTTATTTGATATTCAAAGCCTCTTAGTGATTCTATCATCAGCATTTGCTGCATCTCAGAAAAATTAAGAACCCTTAAATGAAATGTCTGAGAAAGCCAAATCTGATATGGTTTTGGCTCTCTTTGACTGAATGTTATTATTTTCAAAGGTTACATCCCCAACTGTGCACTGGCCGTGGAAGCCATGTTAGCTACAGCTAGCCTAGGAGCCATTTGGAGTTCTACCTCACCAGATTTTGGAGTCTCGGTAATTGACAATAATTACTGTACATTTTTAAAATTAAATTATTTAATTTTAAAAATGTACGGTTGAGCCTCTACTAATGGCCACCTTTCCACCATGGCCAGTCTGTTTTGTTTCCCTGGATATGTTGTGGTTCAATTTTATCCTTGATTTAAATTTTGTTTTTCTTTATTCTGGGGTATGGTAATGTATGATAAAGAGTTTAAAACAAAGGAAAATTAAATTTAAACCAAGGATAAAATTGAACCACAACAGATCTATAGATTCATTCTTGTTTTAACCTTGATTTCCACAAGGGCCTATTTGAATCTTACAATGGCTATATGAAATTATACCTAACTCTGCCCCCAGGTTGCCTTTGTAGAAAGTTTATTATATTTAATAATAATAGTAATAATAATAATTATTATTATTATAACTTATTATTATGAGAATTTGATAATGTCATTATCTATAAACAGTTATGTTAATGTTCAATAATACAAACAGTAATTTGAAGTGACATTAACTACATCACCAACTAAGGTATTTCATAGGCAACACTGCAAATAAAAGGTAAAAACAAAACAGAGAATTAGCCTCTAAATTAAACCTTTTTAAAATAAAATCTAAAACACTATTCTTTTCTTTTCAGGGAGTATTGGACAGGTTTACCCAGATTAAACCAAAGGTTATTTTTTCAGTAGATGCTGTCAGATATAACAACAAGATACACAACCATTTGGGGAAACTAACTCAAGTTGTACAAAGTATGTATGGAGGGATGCACGCAATGTTTGGTGGGTTGGGTGACAAGTGGTATAAGCAACTAATAGGCCCTTTGCAGCTAGCCATTCATGTGGTACATAACCACCATGCTGGTGAGCAAAAGTCGCACTGGGAGAAGACAATCAGATGACATTACCATTTAAAATTATGTATGCCTTTTGTTTGTCTTGTCCCAGAGCCACATGAATAACCTCAAAGGGCCTATTTTTGACTGCACAGGAAATCCAAATCATATCAATTCCATGCTTTTTTGATTAACAACTGGTTTTAACTGGTACTTTGCTCCAATAATGGGGGAACACTTTACTTCTCCCCCCCCCCCTCCCCCCCGACCCCCTTGAAAAAAAGGAAAGAAAAATAAGTAAAGTCAAGTTTAATTTTACTTACAGGCCTTCCTGATCTGGAGAAAGTTATTGTGATGCCTTTTGTTGGAAAAGCAGATGAAATTGACCTCTCCAACATTCCCAACAGGTATTTGCCTTCCCTTATGCTATCTCATTAATTAGAGTCAGATTCGAACAATTCAGAAAGGGTGATCACTTGAAAGCGTATATACAATAAATACTATCTTATTACTGAGAATTCTTTGAAAACAATGCCAAATTTCACAGAAAAAGGGTGGGCC